TATATATATATATATTTATTAGTTTCTCTTTAGATATAAGGATATCTGTGTGGTTTTTTACTGAAGGCACAGCCAGTTTAGTTATGTCAATGAGCCGCCTTCATCAAATCAACCATATGTGGTTTACACAGAAGCATTTTCCTTTATCCACTGATCGATGTCACAGTGTACTTACATGTACTGAGACAATGTACATGTCCCATAAAAACCCATGTATTCCACTGAGTAAACGGAAACAAATATACATATTCAAATATATGTATTTTCTTAGCAACACATTTACTACATATTGTGTATGATTATGTTGTCCTGTAAAAACTCATAACCACTTTTTAACAATGTTTTGTGATTTTGTGTAGATGTATATTTTCTCATTTTGCTCTGAATAATTAACTTATTTTATGCCCATTAAATTTTTTATATATATTCATATTCATGACAGGGCAACTTACTATTGTTCGATGGACCCAGAAATACACAACGTACTTTTAGAAATATGCAGAGGGATGTTGTTTTTGCCAATATTGGAGGATCTTCAGGGCAGTTTAATTGTGGTGGCCATGTTCTCCCTTTGCCTTTGGCACACAGACAGGCTGCTGTAGCGATTTGGAGTTTTTATTTTGTCTTATCCCAGTCAATCTTGAATATTCCACCTGCTCCAGCATCAACTCCTTTAGGTTATTTGACATGTGTTAAAAGCCAGGTTACTCTGCACAGATTCTCAGATGAAATTAATCGTATAACATTTTGCAACTGCGTTAACAAACAGTTCATAAAAAAATAGTCACTAGTCTTCAAAAAGTGGACTTTTTAGGAACTTAACAAGTCTTCATGATTACACTTGTTACATGTCACAATATACAGCAACTGTATAATTTTTCAGATAATATTTACTTGACACTGTCTAGTCTCCCCAAGTATTCAGTCTGCAATATTATAAACCAGTAGCAGGTCACAAGGTGAATGACTGCTGTTGGGTCTGGTCTGTTCTGAAATAAGCCAAGAACTATCCAAGCACCAGAATTTACATGTATCAACTCTGTGCCAGCATTTCACTACAGTAAGTAGATGCTGACCCTGAATGATGCCCAAACAAAGATGCCCCTGTGCTTCTAAAGAGACACGCAGATAAAAATATTGTAAATTAATTTGAGGTGTGGTTCACTTTAAAATTGATCTCCAGGAATTATCTTGACGGAAACGTATGTTAGTGTAGCTTGGCTCAATGTATAGTGTATACATATCTGATCCCTGGAGGGCCCCTGGGGATGCAGAAAATCACTAGCATGCTGCGTTCTCTGATTAGATGAGGAGGGGCAGATGACTTTACAATCCACAACTTCCACCTTGTCTAATCAGAAGACGGCTTACAATCCAAAAAAACCCCCAAAACCTTCTTTGAATGGCTGCATGGATGAGCAGGTTACTCCTAGTTTTCAGTATGCAGAGGGTAAGATCATGGCTATCACTTTTTTTTACTACTACCGTGATTTTTAGGGACCCTCCGGATATCAGGTATAGACACTTACATTAAGCCAAGCAGGTCCAATGTAAGTTCCCCATGAAGATCATTCCTGGAGTTCTGCTTTAACGATAGTTGTTCTTTAAGATGCCTCCTCCACCTTAAGGTACATTTATAACATCTCCTAAATTGCCTCTAAATCTTTGTCCTAATAAAGTACTGTATAC